TATATATATATATATATACTGCCACCCCTGAAAATATCCCTGCCCCCCTCTTGCCACCCCATAAATATTTTTCTAGATCTGCCCCTGTCAGAAACATTTTGAAAACCTGAACCAAACCAGAGACGATCCTCTTCTTCTTCTTCTGTTTCTGCTCAGTTTCCAGATGAAATCCCGTCAAAAACAAACCAGCCTGAACTCCAAGACGTCTCTGCTCTGCATCTGCCTCAGTCTGCTGGCCTTCATCATCACTTTCCTGTCTGGAGTCCAGAACTCCGGACCTGAGGACAGTACCGAGGAGCCGTCCAGCGATCAGAACCAGATCCTGGAGTCTGAGCAGTATGTGGAGCCGGACCGTGGCTCCTGCACGGCCGTGGCGGCGCTTCTGCACTTCTTCCTGCTGGCCACCTTCTCATGGAACAGCATGTACGGCACCCAGGTGGTTCTGCTGGTCCGATCCATGCAGCGCAGCCTGCCGTCATACTGGACCCAGCTCAGCTGGGGAGTCGGATGGGGTACGGCATTTCAGACACCAAAGCTGCCAAACACCTCAATTTTCTGCCATTTCTTAAATTTAAAACATGCAGAAACTGTCTGCAGATAGAAACAAAACAAACATTATTGACTTTCACAGAATAAATATTTGATCAGAACCAGAACTCTGACCTGGTTCTGCTTCATTTTGTTGCTTCTGGTCAGGAGTCCCAGCCGTTGTCACGGCGATCACCCTGGCAGCGACATACCGGGTGGAGAACCCGCTGGCGTACCGACAGGAGGAGTTGTGAGTTATGGTCTAAATGGGTTCTGGTTCTGGTTCCGTTTGTTGACCCGGTTGTTTCTGCAGCTGCTGGCTCGCTGCTCTGGACCGGAACCAAGAGTTCAGTTTTGAGAAGCCCATGTTCTGGGCCTTCATCGTGCCGCTGGGCCTGGTTCTGCTCTACAACGCGGTTCTGCTGGGCCTCACCTCGCTCACCACCTGCAGGGTGGATCCCAAGCTCAACAGGTGACTACCGCCCCCTGCTGGACACTCTGAGCAGAGCAAAAACAAAACAGCAAAAAAGAAGTAAAAAAAGTTTAATGAAATCATCTTTAAATGACAATTAAAAAAAAAAAAACAACATAAAATCAAACTGGCACAGAAATACGGGTTTTTAAAACATTTTGTAATTTCAGACATAAAACAACTTAAAACTAATTTGATTCTTTTTTAAAATCTTTTAACATTTTAAGATAACAGTAAGTTTTAAAAGTAGCTGCAGGAAATTCATTTCTTATAATTTATTCAGTAATTTCCCCAGACATTAATTATACAGATGTATCTGTGACTATCTGGTCATAACGTTTTGCCTGATCTATCTGGTTCTGGTTCTGTGGACCCGGCAGCACCAAGCGCTCCTCCCTGACCCAGAAGTTCCTGGTCAGCTTCTCTCTGGCGGTTCTGCTCGGTCTGTCCTGGACTCTGGGCTACCTGGTCCTGGTTACCATGGGAACCGCCCACCTGGCCTGCAGCGTCCTGTTCTGCTTGTGTACCACCACCCAGGTAGGGTCCGGGTCCGGGCGGGTCCGCTGTGGCCCGGCAGAACCTGGTGACGGTCCGCTGTGTGTCTGCAGGGCCTCCAGATCTTCATCCTGTTCACGGCCAGAACCCCAAGCTTCCGGGCCGCAGCGAGTCGGTCTGCTCACCACCTCTCCGCCGCCGCGTTCAGCCTCAGGTCCACAACGTACCACCTGTGGAAGAACCGGGGCCAGTCCAGAACCTCAGACATGTACCGGAACACAAAGAGCCAGGACACAAAGAGCCAGGACACCAGCATCTAGAACCAGGAACCGGGTCAAAACCGGACCAACACCAGCATCTACAATCAGGAACATTCGATCCACCAGCTGCAGAGTCAGAACCAACGAGGTCCAATCGATGGATGGATCAGTGATTTTTTTTATATTCCTCTGATGTACAGCATTATGACACCAATATTATTGATATATTATTGATTAATTATTTTTGGATATTTTTTACATTTTTCTGCAGAAGCTGATTTTAAATCTAAGATTTTAAAATCAGATTTTAAATGTAACCAGTAAATATTCAGCCTGCTGGTTCTGATCCGTTTTATTGTTTCTGAACTTTATAATGTTTTTATATGAACTCAGATTGTTTTACGTGTTTTTATTGTTTTTATCATCTGAACCATTAAAGACGTTCTAAGAACTCATCACAGATGTTCTGGTTCCATGAATATCGGGTCCATTGTGGTTCTGTTGGGTCGGGGTTCTGTAGAACCCAGTCTTGGTGGTTCTGAATGGTTCCAGTTTGTGGCCACTGGGGGGCGCCAGATCTCCACCACCACACAGTGAAGGCTCTGTTGGTTCTGAGTTGGACCAGGTGAGCACGGCGGGAGGGGGAGGGGTCAGGTGGTTCTGATCCGGGTTCTGAACATTCCAGATGAAATTTATCCCTCTGTGGAGGACGGACTGAACAGAACCGGAACCTGCTGTGGACACAGAAGGATGGGACGGAGCGCCACGCGGCGTTGCCATGGGAACAGTCCTGAAGCATCCATCAGGAGACTCCAGACCGGGCCGGAGGACCCGGTTCTGTTGGTTCAGGTTGGTCACCTCTAGCCCTGAAGCTCCGCCCCCTCATGTTACACACAGGAACCGGTCCGGGTCGTTACGCAACCGCGCAGGACCCTGTGATCCAAATGAAACAGAACCCACTGAGCATGTGGTTCTGATGAGTTTACCAAACACCTGAAGCTCCAACGTGTTCTGCCGTTACATAACCGGGCCGGCGCAGGCCCGTTTGATTCCTCTGTGTGGGCGTGCAGCCGGGCCGGGCGGGACCGTCTGGTTCTGATTTAACCGAACAATGAGAGGGACAAAAGTGGACCTCCTCTGACTGGAAACACATGTGGGCTGGGCTTTGTGGTTCTGCTGGGGAGGCTGACCCGCTTGGTTCTGAAGAATCTGAGACATTTTATGGCATGTAGTCGTTATTCCCAATGTTCACAGACTGAGAACGATGAAGAGGAGGAAGAGGACGGCATGGAGGGGGACAGAATGGTTCCCAGGAAGTTCCTCAGGGGACCGTTATTGAGGTTGCACAACATGGTTCTGGGTCAATGACTGACACAGGGAGAGACCTGAAATGTTAGAGGTTTGGGTCAGCCAGAACCAGAAGGTTCTCCATCGTCACATGACCAGAAGGTTTTTCACCAGACTGACCAGATCCGGACCAGAGAACCAGAACCTGCTGGGTCTGAAGAACCGTCCTGAACATGTTCAGCTGGTCTGTATTACCTTTAGGTAACCGAGACGACAAACCGAACAGGTTCAGCTGACGGTCGATGTTCTGTGAACGGATCAGAACAGAAAACCTTCAGAACCGGATCAGGACCAGAGTCCTGATGGTGAGGAACCGGTGGAGACCAGAGGAGAGAAAAGTTCCTTCTAAACTGAACAGTTTTACACCAAAAACATGACAGGAGCGAAGAACCTGTGACAGTTTGGTCTGAACCGGGTCACTGTGACCTCAACACCCAGAGCATCATCACACAGTGAGTCAGAACCAAACTGGGACTGATCCCAGTATGAACTTGGATCTGGTCCTGGTGTTCTCACAGCAGATAAGACCAAACATTGAGACTCTACTCAGAACCAGCGTCTGTTTGGATGGAGGAGCATCTGGAGAAGCTTCAGCTCAGGTTCCACTTCCTGATCTTCGTCCTGAAAAACGAGGCGTTTGCTCCCAGCGTCCTCCTAAATCTCTGCTGTGGAAGCGAAGGCCAAACCATCGTTATCCCTGCCGGGCCTCGCCAAGAACCCAAACAGCCGTAAATCCCCAGAGCGGCTCCCAATCATCCCGTGTGAAAGGCTTCCTGGCTCCCAGCTCCACTTCCAGGCTCTGCAGGAGGGCTCCAGCACATTTTTCCACATTCACACCCATGATCCTCAGATTCCCTCCAAGGTTTTGCTGGAAAATCTCGGCCCGTTTCCTCACGCTCCATTTCCCCCGTCAGGCTCCATAAACCCAGATTATCTGCAGAAAATCACAGGAAGAAAGAAATAACACTGTTTGACTTTATGGCTGAAAACAGGTGGAACGTTCCTGTGTGATCCATCCATCCATCCATCCATCCATCCATCCATCCATCCATCCATCCATCCTTGTGGTTGGTTTAGTGGATGAGTGAAAGTCCATCTTCATCAGGATGACTCCGTCCCGTTGATAGGAGCCGCTGAGCCTCTTTGGTTTGACGGCTGCTGTAAGTGAATCTCATCTCACGTCGTTCTTCATGTCAGCAGCTCAGCGGCTGATCCCCGCCGCGCCGCGCTCCGTGTTTCCTGTCAGCACCCGGAATCACCTGAAACCTGCTGACACATTCCTGCTTCCATCCCAACAGGAAGTGGAAGTGGAAGCGGCCGCGGCGTGTCCTCTGATCAGCTGCAGTTCGTCTTCATTACGACGTGACGCAGCGCCGCTGCAGATCCAGCGGTTTCCATCCGCCTGCCGTCCAACTAAAACATCTCATCCATCTTCATTCTGCTGGAATCGGAGCCGCAGATGAAGCTCCATTCATCACAGCGTTACTAATTCAGCTCAATACAGATGCAAAAACACTAAATAATACCAAGGAGTTCTGGTCCAGTTTCTGCTGAAAATGCCTCAGTGCTCTGAAAATAGGAAAACTAACTTATGAGTCACTTTACTGCAGGTTAACATCTCGTTTTAAATCAATAATTAAAGTAAAAGTTTTACTGGCAGATTATTTCACTGACGAGAGAAAAGTAAACTTGAACTTTTCTATCAATATGAAGGAATTATTTATTCAAAGTAAACTAACATTCCTCAGAAAAGTTTGTTTTGTTTTATATTAAATATTTCCGATAGAAATATCGGAAATATATTTCCGATATTTCTAACGGAAATATATGAAATATTTCCAATAGAAGCTAAAACAAAATCACTTTGTAACATTTTGTGTTTTTATAGAAATTCAAAATAAAAAAGCCAAAACAAAGCACTTCCATGATGCTTCAGGAAGTCAGACATGTCTGAGACGTTTCTCAGTTTTCTTTTTTCTCCTTTAAATATCACAAACTATAATCTATAATCTATCACCATCACGTCTTTTCAGTCGGCCGTCTTTGCTCTGAACTCATGTTTGGTTTTCAGCGGTTTTCCATGTTAATGAGTGAAACATTCAGATGTAAACGCTGTTCAACCAAACCTGCTAAAGCTAGTATTTTATTTAAATCACCATGGATGCAGCTGATCTTTCAAAATCTTTCTGATTCTCTGCAGGAGAAACTATGAAAACGATGATCTGCTCTGGTTTCTCTGCAGAATCAGGAATGAAAGAAATGTTGGATTTCAGCTCAAATCATCGTTTTCCGGTGATTTTCTTCTATTGTTTCTTCTCCAGATCTCTGGAAATCTGCTCACATTCTCTGAGCGGCAGCACTTTTCTGTTTTTGTTCCAGCTGTAGAAAACATTTTAACTCCTCTGGTTTGGCTCCAGGCTGGAGGCGGAGAGCGGCTCTGAAACCCGACCATCCGACCCGCTCAGGCTGCAGATGCAGAGCGGCTGGACTCGCAGGGATTTTCCTGCCTAAATGAGAAGCAGAGCTGCGGCTCCTCGCTCCTCATTAAAGCTGCACATGCGGCTCAGGGGAGGCCCCGTGTGGCCCCGCCGCCCTGGGAAGCCAATTTCATTTTAAAAGCTCCGTTTGAACTAATTCTTCAACAGAACAAGCCGAGGGGACGAGATGTTTACGCCTCATGAGGTCAGCGCTGCCTGTTTACAAGCAACCCAAACAGTCCAGCAGGCCCGGTTTCATCCTCACAGATGTTCTGGAAAATCATCCTGAAGCTCCGGATCGGATCATCCTGCTGGGAGTTCGTCCTACCGTCTGTTTCTGCAATCAGGTGTGGGACGGAGCGGCGCGCTGCGGGGGACGCTGCAGCGCCGCAGCTTTTAGGAAAGTTTGAGTAAAACAACATGAAAATAAACGCACATAGAGAAAAAGGAACAATGGTGCAGAGCAGCTTACTGGGAAAACATCCAAATGTGTGTTTACTGTCAGTCGGAGTCAAACCTCTGCTAAAGTCTTTACAGATGAGAAGGAAAACAAAGTCAAGTTTATTTTTACAGCAGGAAATCAAAGAGCTTCAGATCCTAAAACATCACACAGGCAGCAGTTATGGAGCAAACAATAAACATTTAATTTACCATCAAGAAAATCATCAAGTAAATTAAATATGTTGATCAGAGACATTCATCATGTCTGTCAGCTCTAGTTTTTAATGTTTGTACTTTGTTTTCTATAGATCTACCTCACACAGATACTAAATCTCTTTTTGGTTGTTCTGTTTTTTACAGTTTCCTTCTATTAAATTATGACATCATTTCTGTCACAAAGTGATTTTTGAATATTGTGTGGAAGTTTATAAATACTTATTGTGGACATAAATTGTCCAGATTTTAATTTTTTTAAGTGATTTGGTCAAAAAAAAGAAAAACTTCCAGTTATGCAACCTACATCTTTGAAAAACAGAAGTGGAACCTCCTGCACAACCAACAAGAATGTAGCTAGTGTTTGTCTGGTTGATAAGTTAACAACCAAACTCTTGTCTTTTCCAGGAGCCATTGTACAATGCAATGTCTTTGAGCTCAGCTGAGGTTGCTAGGTGACAGGCTGGAGTTTGCTATGGTTGCTAGGCAACGGGCAGTGCCTGCTGATTTGTTACGTTACATTCTGGAGGTTTTTGAAACGGCTCATTTTCCAGACATCTATAAAACATGAAGTTACAGCCAGAAACAGGCTGGATGGGATTTTAAGAGGTAGAATCCAAAATGGAGGCAGAAAAATGTGCAAAATGTTTTAGTACCAGAGTTACAGTCAGGTTGATCCTCAAGCTACATCCAAGGAACCTGGACTGGGAACAATCCACACAGGATCCTTCAGAACCGGTACCGTATGTAGCTGGTTTGATGGTCAGCAGCTCTACCAGATCTGGGTCCAGATGGATGGGTTGAGCTCTGGTTTGGTTTCCCTCCTTTCCCTTGAAGAGGACTGAGCCTCCATCAGAGCTTCATATCTGCAGATCGACTCCAGGTAACCAGAAGGTCATCCTGCTGCATCAGCACCAAAGATTCAGAGATGAATCTGATCTGTATTGGAACAGATCGGATCAAGAGCCGACCCAGAACACCAAACTGAAAACAGACCGAAGGAGACCAGAACAAAACAAACGGGTTCCACCTCCAGCCATCTGGACGGAGGAACTCGATGTATGTATCGATAAGACAGAACGTGTCCCGTACCTTCAGTCCTCCTCCGTTATCCCCTTTTTAACAACTGGTGGCTCAGTTCTGTTGAAGGATTCAGACTGAATTAATCTGTCTCAGCGATAAAACGCCAGAGTCCTGCGTAATTTAGTGCATAATATGCCCTAAAAGCAACACACAGCTGGTGTTTTATGAGTCTTAAGGGCCTTGAGACATAAAAGTGCTCTTAAAATGTGGATTTAGAGCCAAGCTAAAACAAAATGTTCAAATGACACATTTCAAATGACAACAAGTCTGAATCTAGTTACAGCAACAATAAAGACAAAGGTTTTCTACAGAGATTCAACCTGAACCGATGGGTCACGCCTGGTCCTGATCGATGGGGCCCTTCAGATGCTCCATGCTCCAATTTATAGCCTCCAAACCAACAACAACAGCAGATCTTCAGAACCTAAAGAAACCGCGTGTGGTCTGGGCTCTGATGGCAGCCGAAGCCACGTCATCCTTCCTCAGGGCATTCCTCCGCTGAAACACCGCGTTTCATCCGCCCAAACATCCGCTCCACGGCGACTTTTCCTAAAACAAGGGAATCCCAGGCCAACACGAAGCAGGGAGTTCCTCTGCCTCGTAAGTCATCTGTCAGAGGGAGGAAGACGACGACAAGAGAAACGAGGAACAAACAGTATTCATCTCATCGTTATTTATGACTCCAAATGATCCAATGTGGAATCCAGATGGAGAAAGCCGTAGCCGTCCAAGCAGACGACAAACTGGAAGGAAGATCCTTCCTGAGACAGATAAAGTGTCGACGTACCGACTCGTCTGATCAGGGGAGGTGAGAAGATCTTCATGGATAACCACGACCACAGGAGAAAGAGGAAACCCTCCAAAACAATCAAACTTCTAAACTCCTGAAGAACGTCTTCATACAACGAACACTGAAGTCTCCATCAGAACCTCAAACCTTTACAGGTAAAAACTCCTGAACAGCAGCAACTCTTCCCAGGTTCTGGTCAAAGTCCAAACCCTTCGCCAGCTGCAGGAAGAAAACTGGAAACTCAACCAAACCAACCAAAGTGATGAGAATCTACAAGGATTTACTCTTCCTACCGTCAACAACACAAAGTTCTGCTTTAGTGTTTTTGATAACTTTGAAAACATTTAGCTTCTCTTAAATTCATCTTTCCCAAAAACTCTAAATCATTTATTCACTGTTACTGTAAACTTAAAACTGAATAAAGTTAACCTGTGTTGAAGTTTTGGTTATTGACTGTAAAGAATTATGTTTGTGCTCTTATTTTGAAGCAGTTCAGTTTCCTGTCCTCATGCTCTCCACTCATAATGCTGTGCAGCCAATGATGTTTATCAAATACCCAGAATGCATTGCTGTAGTTCTACAGTAAACAGTTTAGATCTACTGATTTTCTACAAGTTTTCTGACTGAAATTGTAAAATTATCAAATTCAGGAGCAGAGTTAGCAAAACCCAACAGATCTGTTCAAAAATATCACGTTTCATTAGCATGTTAGCTGTTTAGCATTATGTTCTGCTAAATGCTATGTTGTGGTAGCACTTCCCAGTATTTCTGGTTAGCTTTAGGGTTAGCATAGTTAGCTCCTTAATTAGCCCACCACTGGTTTCAGGTTCTGATCAAAGTCACAGCAGATACATTTATGGTAAATCAATAAAGCTCCAGGTCTCTGGTAAAAACTGATTTCCTCAAGACCAACAAGAAACAGGAAGTCCAAGATGGCAGAAACGTTAAAACAACTTTTAACAGATCCAATCTCCTCCCAACGGATCAGAGTGGAAATCCTCCAATGTTGAAAATGTGGCGAGGAAATTCAGAGTAAAACCAAATTAGACCTGTTTCAACCTGCCAAGACCAACCACCAACCAAATCTGGAAACCAAAGCAGACCAAGTGCAACATCTGGGCCAGGAGGAAACGTTGAGGTTCTGCCTCAACCTGGTGGAGCTCGTGACGTCAGGAATCTAATTATTGGCTCAAAACTGCAGGAGGAAGAGGAACAACGCATCCGTGAACCGACAGTGAAAGCTACTAAAGATTATTAATGATGCAGAACATGAACAAGACGGTTCGATGCAGGACAACAAACAGAATCTATTAAAGATTTGAAGAACAGAGCTCTCCGAGGACCGAATGGAAAACCGTTCAGAACATCTGGGCTCCGAGGAACATTTATCACAACATAAACCAGCAGCATGATAAAGAACAGAGCGTTTGGCTGGAAACTCCAGAACCGACACCAACGCCAGAGTCCAAACAGATGTTCTGATACAAGCTTCTGCAGGACGCGGAACCAATTAACCACCAAACCCCCGAAGACATAAAACCTCCTAAATGGACGAAGACGAACAGGAGAACGTTTCCACTGTGGAAAACCGGCAGATGGATGCGGCTCCTGGGACCCAGCCGGGCCAGCAGTGGTTCCCAGGACCGGTTTAAACTGGGTC